CCAGTGGAAACCTCAGCCAAGTGCAGAAGATACGGCTAGAGGTATATATCTCTTACTAATATAAATGCGAATGTTTAGATAGAAGGATGTTTGTTAGAGTTTCCCGTCTAAACGGATCTGGATGAAATTTGGCATAAACATAAAGAATAGTTTGGAATTTTATTTTTGTTTTATCCACGCAGAAAGAGTCGCGGGCAAAAGCAAGTAGATAATAAAGACCTTAGTTTTGCTAATCATAGTAGAGCTAAGCCATACGTGGGTAAATCCTCCCATATGTTTAACTTGTTTTTTTTTATTTATTCATTTATTCCAAATATATTAAATACATTCTCTTCATGTATTACTTTAGGTTCTTATACCTTTTGGTTTGTGAGTACCCTGCACATTCTTAGTGGGTAGTTTAAATTTTTTCAGTCTCTCGCTAGCAGATTACCCTATAATTATTAAATTAGTAATAGTAGAGGTAGACGTAGAAAGAGATGGATGTATTGCGTGGAAGGTGACATGATCGAAACGGAAGTGATGACTGAGATGACGTATAATAAAGTTATGTGCAGCACAGTTTTAACAGTGGAGCCCATTTTAACAGCTTCGCATGAATGGGCCAGCTCGCCCCTAGCAATACCACCACACAGAAAACAGGCGTGAAGTGGAAGCAATTCCGCTTACAGTCTGGTGAGTGTGGTGCCTTTCCCTTTCCTTTTCCACCATTTTCTTAAGAGGAAAGGATGGGCAGGAAAAGTGGATTTGACGGTGAAGTCCTCTTTATGTGCGTCCCCTCCTCCGTCAATGAAGGGTAGGCAACTCATCTGCAATTGTGGATGTTTATGGGCAGCGGTCGCTTTCCATTCCGATGGCCGCTTGCTCGTTTTCCACTTTACATTATAAAAAAAGGACAAAATCCTGGTGCACCGACCCTACAGGAGTAGGATAACGTAGATGATGATAAAGTATATATGTATTATACAATTATAATAATACCAAGTAATGTGTGTGAGGTTTAATTCTGTGTAATATTTTGTTACAATAGTTTTATTATTTATTTTCCCTTTAGATCGACCAGAAGAACCAATCAGTTATCAGCAACAATACGGATATCCATGTGCTGACGGGGGCACTGAAGCTATTCTTCCGCGAGCTGAAAGAGCCGCTGCTTCCATGCAGCATGTTCGATAGAGTCCTCGCCGCCTGCTGTGAGTATTCTAAGATTCAATTGCATATCGGATGCATCACCAGCTCCCTATACGTCTACTGAGGAGTCGGAGACGTTATTTAGCGGTGACTAGACCACGCGGGTTGACTTCACACATATCTTTGAATTTCTTCGCCGATATGCAGGCATTGGTGCATTGTTTAAGCACTTGACTCGTAATTACAGGTCTTGGGTTTGAATCCCGCTGTACCAATGTGATTTTCGATTTTTCTATAATTTTATTATGTACATAATTTACTCGGCGTTCTTACGATGAAGGAAAACATCGTGATACCTGCACATATCGGCGAAGAAATTCAAAGATATGTGTGAAGTCAACCCGCAGTGCAGCGTCGTTGACTATGGCCGTCAACCCTTACTTAGGGTAGGCTCTAAGCCCCTTAGTGGAGGCGTAATAAGAATTGCAAGTAATAAAAAAAACTTGCTCCATTTGATAAGTTCGTTTCGTTCATGTCGGAGACCTTTGTAGTCTCCCTTCCCTTCCCATTACCTTATAAGAAAGGAAACGCATAGGAAGGGGATATATTATGTCTCTTCCTCAGTCGGTAGCAGCGATCGTTTCGTTAAAGACTTTGTCTTTTCCGTTTGTTAATAGTTAACGAATATTGTTTCCAGCGATCAAGCCTCGAGAGTCGCGGATTAAGGAGTTCCGGGATATTGTAAACTGCCTTCCCGAGTGCAACCGGGATACGCTTAAATTCCTATTGGAACACCTGCTTAAGTAAGTTGCACATAATGTAGCATTTATTAAGCTAAGACTACAAGTGTAACTTTAAAGTGTAATTAGTAACTTGAAGCTTTGGGCCACGATTTCCTTGTAGATTTAAAAAAAAGTAGCCTAAGTGTTCTTCCAGGCTATCCTCTACATCTATGACAAACTTCATCGAAATCTGTTCACAGTATAGGCTACAAATCCATCCAATTTTTACATTTATATTAGTAATATTGATATATAAAAAACTAGCTTTCGCCCGCGACTCCGTCCGGGTGGAATTAAAAAATACAAAAGTAAATAGCCTATGTATCCTTCCAGAGTATCCTCTACATCTATGCCAAATTTCATCGAGATCCGTTCAGCCGTTTAGGCTACAAACTCTAACAAACATCCATCTAAACTTTCGCATTTATAATATTAGTATGATTAACTAATTAATACATGTTTTGTCCAGTTTACCTTTGTATTTATCAAAATTTTACCAATTTCTTAAATAATTTTAAAGTTACGATATCTAGAATTTTACCCCCGATATTATTTTTTCGATATCAATTTTTAAAATGACTAACACGATAAAATAAAATAACAATGAAATGATGATTGAATGTGTAAATTATCCAGGGTGACACAATACAGCGAGCGGAACCGCATGCACACAGCTAACTTGGCGATTGTGTTCGGTCCCACGCTGCTGTGGGCGCCGGCCGCGCAGGCGCACAACATCGCCGTCGACTGCATACAGCAGAACAACGTCGTAGACATCCTCCTCAACGATTACCACGATATATTCGATAGGAGGCATGCGTGACTGACCAGATATAAACCAGTTATATGAATTGGCATGTGCCAATTTACACACATATTTCGTTTAAGTTGACACATGAACGACAACTGTACTCTTGTGATCCACGTGCCAATTGAAATAGACTCAACATCAAAGTTGGCACATGGACGACAGCTGTACTCTTGTGATCCACGTGCCAATTGAAATAGACTCAACATCAAAGTTGGCACATGGACGACAACTGTACTCTTGTGATCCACGTGCCAATTAAAACACACTCAACATCAAAGTTGGCACATGGAGGACAACTGTACTCTTGTGATCCACGTGCCAATTGAAATAGACTCAACATCAAAGTTGGCACATGGAGGACAACTGTACTCTTGTGATACACGTGCCAATTGAAATAGACTCAACATCAAAGTTGGCACATGGAGGACAACTGTACTCTTGTGATCCACGTGCCAATTGAAACACACTCAACATCAAAGTTGGCACATGGAGGACAGCTGTACTCTTGTTATCCACGTGCCAATTATAACAATCAAAATCAAAGTTGGCACATGGAGGACAACTGTACTCTTGTGATCCACGTGCCAATTAAAACACACTCAACATCAAAGTTGGCACATGGAGGACATTTGTATTATATGCCACGTGGCAATTAAATACAGTCTGCCGATAGAAGTTGGCACGTCGGTACAAGCGTACTACTGTGCGCCACGTGCCAATTAAAACATATATGCAGAACTAAAGTTGGCACGCACAAGAGCATGCTTGTTTCCAATGTGCCAACTAATCGTACGAGAAAACAAAATGTTCTCTGAAATTATGTTATATTTTACATAAAAATGCTTTGTTAAATTGCTAAATGGATATCAATATTGTATTTATATAGCTGGTTTATTAAATTTAATCAAAATGACATATTTAGAATTCAACTCGTATATCGCAGATTTAGATTATTATAAGTTTCGTTGCTGTAAATTGGCGTTTGTATAGATAATAAATATTTAGTATGGCGGCTTTCATCTGAGTGAAAACGAATAAAAAATAATTAAATCGATATTACTCAGTTGAAATTTCACCTTTATTGTAATGGTTAAATGAGTTGTTATTAAGTTGGCGATTTTTTTTATTCAATTCAATATTAATCACGAATTAAAACATGTAAATCTAATTTAAGCTTCAAATTGACAATGAAATTAAAAACAAAAAGTTTGATCTGTCAAAACTTTGACAGATTATAAATTGGCGCCAAAGTAACTGTCACAATAACTTTTTTCGTTCAGAAAGTCGTTAACGCAAATGTAAAATGATAATTTAGAATTCTATTTTATAGTACATTAATGTTAACTAAGTTTTTATGTTTCCTTTCTTGTAGATAATTGTGATATGTATGAAAGTGTGTGTTTGTAAACTATGATCTCTGCCTTTATTCTAGCATTTCTTACAGATTATATAACCTAGAGATTTCCATTAAAATCTTATGATGTTTGAATAAAATAGTAGTTTAGGCTCCTTTTTACTAGACTGTGCAATCAACTTTCTGTGGACAAACTTTGATTTGTCTTGTTTGAAACCATATTTTATGATACCACTGTGATCATTCAATAGAAATGTTTAATAGAATTCCAAATGTTTAAATTTTTTTATTTCTCTAACATTATACCAAAATATATATGTTTTTTTATCTGTTGTAATTTCTATGTAAATGATTCTCTCTAAAATGCGCTTCAAAATTGTATGACCGTTAAAATAGTGTTGTGATTGGTCAGTTTTCAAGACTGTGGAAAGTTTAATAGTCTATTGAGTAGTTTTCTTGTAGTTTTATAGTTCAAGCGCCACGCGAGATCCTAGTTTCCCCTACAGCATTCTCCGGGGCCAACATTGTAAATAGAAGCATCCTATTTTAGGCTCTAAGCCGGCTTTATGTGCCTTAATATAAATTTGATTTTGTAAATATTCATCATAGATGATAAATGAGGTTATGTGATATAATAGTTGTTTGTGAATTTTGTTTATATTTCTTTTTTTTGTAATGAAAATGCATGCAAGTGACGGTCTAGTCCTTATCGTTATAAAATGGACTTTATTATCATCAACTGTGTAAGGGATATCTTTTAACACGATTGAGCAAAATGGCGCGAAAACATTTGTAAAATTGACTTGTTTAGCAGTTTTTTTTTTCACTTACTATGTATCTGTTAATTCCAATACATCATAACCTTAATAAAATAAACACATTTCTTTATAAATTTCTTTAAATAACAGTATTTCTTCACTTGTCACTTTGTCGTAATTTGACATTTGACATTTCGCGCGCCATTTTATTTAGTCGTGTTATATTACACGACAATGTGGAATGTAACACCGGTTTGTGACTTCGACGAGCTAGGAACCAAAGTTTTGTATCATCGGCTGATAGAATAGCTATATATAAATATAATTTTGTTGTGTAATTATTCAATATATTATTATTTTAACGCCAATAATGCTTGGAAATAGAAAACGAAGTTACATAAAATTAAAATCACTTATTCAATATTACTTTTGTATTATTTCACCATGTCCGAAAATTATAATTTCCTTTTCACAGTTTGTGTTGCCCTATTTTTACTAATACAAAAATTTATACACAACCATCACAAAATCTTTACTGGTCCTGTCAAGAGTACGCACACCTTTATTTAAACTATCGCATAACTGTTCAGGACCTGTCCCACCACTGGCTGATAGAGGCTCAGATAGTTTAAAAATGACGTCACTGTCATAAGGGTGCAAAATCTGATATTTCCATCACATATTTTACACGTTGAATTGTTATCAGACAATTTACAACTAGGTGGAACAGGCACTTTAGTCTCGGTTTAATTCCTATGAGCGTATATGGATGAGCACACTACTTTTTTTATTCTAGTTGTACAACTAAATAGTTGAATTAGCTGCGAAACAATCAACAATCCCACAAAAGTTATACGATAGTTTACTCAAGTGTTGCCAACCGAAAATATGACTGTTTTCATTCAATAAAACAGTGATGTCATCCAGTAAAACATCTTGATTCGAGTTTAAATAGTTAATTCCCATACATTGACGTCAACTAATTTTGTTTAATATCCTTAAGTGGTGAGGTTCATATTTATAGACAGCACACTAGTTGCTTCAACCAATTAGTTAATGCAAACAAGCCCGTTTTTCAATAGTACAAATTGCTCGTAAAACTTGTTTAGTCATTTAACTCTCTCAATGATTACTTGTTCGCTATATTTGATGGCAAAAAATACGTTTAAATTTCGCGATTCTTTTATATAAGTTAATGAAGTTATTTAGATGGCATATTTTTTTCTACACAAGAGGTTATATTAAAAATACTTCTCACTTCCCGAAACGTTTAGAGTCCCGTTGATTTAGTAAAAATTTTTACCGGGGACTTTTTAGTTTATTTGAACTAAGGTTTTTATATATTTTTAAAAATTAAACTCTTAAGTTAAGTATTTTAAAAATACAAGTGCCTTTAACGGGACCAGCTTGCACACATCTTTGACTAAACTATCGCATAACTGTTTTGTCGAGCCCCTACTGAACGTAGATGCCACGGCCCGGTTGGGCGAAGGAGAATACCGCGGGGTTTAGTGGGTAGTCCGGCCGGGATTAAGGCCGGGAGTCCCACACGAAACTGTCCCTGCTGCCTTGCGGCATGGACGGTGAAGTGCGTAAATGCATTCCCCGCGACAAAAAAAAAATCGCATAACTGTTTTGTCTCGCTTTGATTCCTATGAGCTTGTAGCTTATATGGTGGTACACTAGGTACTAGATTTTTAATTGTGCCAGTAAACACTTGTGAAACAATCCACATTCGAACAGCAGTTGTGCTATAGTTTAGTGAAAGATGTGCGGACGGTCTAAATAATAATTTTCATAACCTAAACGTTATAGCCTATAAATTATTAATCAGAAAACTAATTTAACCCGAAATAAAAGAAATCAATGTAAAAACAACTTTAATAACGTATTAACTTAACATTAACAAACCAAAATTACAATCTGTTTTCATTCCTTTAATTAACACAGTCTTAATTTTTAGCTTCCACACAGAGTATACAAAAGACATTTTGCTCGTTACCAAGGAATGTTGCCGTTGACACATTTAAACAATAACTACCAATTTCTACCATTTTACAGTAATATAGAAAAATTAACATTTACATTAATTATAACATTTCGTGTGCTTTCTTACACATTTAACAATTTTTAATTACAAATTATAAAGTATACAATTACACTAACATTTTACGTATTTATATGTGTAAATTTAAATAATTTGATGTTCCCTAAAACAGTTCGTTTTGACAAAAAATGACGTAAGCGACAATTGAAGTTGAATGGAAAGCTCAAATTATGGTAATACAGTTTTTAAATAGAAAACAGTAATATTTTAAGAAAGCATATAATTTGTACGACTTAAAATAAACAAGCCAAAAATAACAACATTATAAGCTCCTTTTCATTGGCATTAGATATTTAGGAACGAAACTTTATATCGCTTCTGAAATTATTGGAATTACAATCAACATTCTTAATAAAATACTATTCACAACAGTATTTCATACAAAAATTTCTGATGTACAAATATATAAAAATTGCAAAAATTGTTCCAAAAATGTGTATCCACAATCCATTGTTTCGTTCGCTAATATACAATATATATTTGTGTATATTTTAAAATAAAATCGCAAATCAATAAAAAATCTACTAACATTTTTAATTTATGCAATAGCAACACAGTATTTGGTCACGTTCGTTACGGTTCAATTTCCAAAAGCCTAGCAACAAATACAAGAATCAACAAAATACTAATTATTATATTCATATCTACATACTATACGTACCCATTTGAATTTTTAAGCTCTATTTTCTCTAAAATGTTAGAATTTTAATTTTACATTATGGTAATGTTGCAAGAAAACTTAAAATAGGCGAAAAATTCAACTAAATTGAAGTACAAATTAATTCAAAGTGTTTGTTGTATAGCAAGCTTACATATATGTTAGCCCTATACAATTTTTATTTAATTACTCGATTCATAACGGTTTTTTTTTAAATAATGCCAAATGATAATATCAACCATCGGCAGTTTTTTCAACATTAAAAATATTGGCCAGTAATTTATTGCGATTTCAAAAACTTAATATATCGATTTTATGTTATTTATGGTTAATACCAAAAACTTATTTATAAATTTAAAATCAATGAGTTAGACGATTTTCTAGCCTGGAGATGTTAAAGAAACGTTAATAACAATTAATTAAAAAGTGCTTAAACAACACTTGCAATAAATTAGTATAATTAATATCAGATCAGGGACAAGCTGGTGTTGGAGCGTGTCAACTGACGCCCTTGACACAGTCCAATGTCACGCGATGTTAATGCTTATTGTAAACTCACCATTATTGTTGCCATGTTTTGTGATAATAAAAAATAACCACTCCTAAGGTCACAACCTTTAGGTTAATTGTTTTCGTTGTTTTACTCTCTAAACTTCGTATAATGCCCAAATTATACTAAAAGGAAATATTTCAATTACATGGCAACTTTTTAATACAATTCCGTTGCGTTCAAATCTTTAACATAATGAACTGAGAGTAAAAGTGAATACAAAGTGAAACACGTCAAAACAAATTATTTAGGAACATTTTATACAATGCAAGTCTTATCTCAAATTATTAACTACCCTTATACACGGTAACTTTGTTCCAATAACGTTACAAAAGCACAAACAGATCACACTTAGTTCGTCCACTAACGTCCACAATCACTCATCTCCCGCAGCCGCTATATCTCGTCAGAGTCCGAACGTATCGAATCGTAATTCGACGTTTTACTTCTCAGCATTCTGAGGAACGAACCGACTGCAAATATAGTCCTCCTGTGCCTATGAAATATACCCTGATACAATGCCTCCCTCAGCGCCTTCCTGTCGTCCGACATGGACGGCTGCGTACTCAATGTGATGTCGGAGTGCGCACCTATCGCTTTTTGGTGCCTTAGTCCGCCATGTTTCTTCTCCAACGACTTCTGATTCGGTAAACTCATCGTCGATTCTATTGATGAGTTTTTCGTTTTTCTCAAGTTTAATATTTTCTTACTGGAGGACTGTGTCTCCGAAGCGGAGCGGGTGGGGGCCAGTTTGGACCTGTGCAACGGATTGTTCGAGCTGTCGGGCTGCACCACTATATCGACCGACTTCTGACTGACGGCGCTCGACC